GGGGGGGAGTGGGTCCAAAATTTCTACCCTATACACTTCAACACTCCTTTCAGATCGTGTTTCACAAAAGAATGTCTGCAGAAGCTTTTTAGGTTCTGTCTAGTGCCCGAGTTCACAACCCACTAAAAATAGTTCTGGACATGTAAAAAGGTATTGCAGAGGGTGTCAGAATCATTTTTGTTTCATGCGAAATTATTCTAGTGGGTTCTGAATCCGAGTACTAGAGAGAAACCTAAAAAGGTTCTGCAGACCTCTCTTTTTGTCAAAGTACGCGGATTTGAGATTGGTCATACTATTTTTTTTTCAATCCAACATTGGTCTAAATCAATCTGAGATTTGTTTAAAATTTCCAGATGGATCTCAGATTGAACGTGTTGTAGCTGATCAATCCTAGATTGACCTGATTTAATATCCATTCAATTTCGGATCCCAGATTGGACTAAATCTGAGATTGGACGCTAACACATATAATAAACAATGTCCAGCATCATTGGATTCTAGCATCAGTTATTGTGGATAAGTTCTGTACAAACAACGTAGAATGATAGAAATTTTATGGAATGCTCAAAAGTTATTTTTGCTATTTCATATAAAAATGGACATAGTTCAGTGCAAAAACTATATATAGAGTCGGACAACATCTTGTTTTATAGAAAACTATTTGTTCTATCATTCTATCTACTTCGTTTCGTAAATTCTAATACTGGAATATAATAATTTGGGATATTCTATATTGTATACATATTTCAAAGGTGTATTTTGTATTTATTTTCGTCATATGCTTCTGTTGAGAATGAAAATGAATATCCACATATCATATGTCAAAAGTTATTTACAAAAACGAATTTCACAAAAAGTGTGGAAAGAAGGTTTTTTTTTATCTTGATAATCCACATTCTCGGAGAGTCAGACTTTATTTGAGAAAATTCAGCATTCGTTATGATGTTTTTACATAATTCTCTTTTATCAATAATTGACATTTTATTAGAAGTTCATTATAATAGAAAAACCATATAGAAAATTCTTCTATGCTTATTCTAATGAATATATCTTGACTATTACCAACATTATCAAAATGTAACAGGTTTTATACTGATGAATCATTTATAATGTATTGCTCATTTTTATGTTATCTACTAATAAAATTGTCATTTCTAAACTTTTTGAACCTTGCAAATCATAAAAGACATTTTTTAAATAATTACCTGAATAGCGAAAGCATGAAATAGAGCACAACATGAAACAGGAATAAGATATCCTCTAAATGTACACCATGATGAATCAAAATTTTGCTCATATATGTCACCTAATAATGTTTGAATATTGCCTGAAACTAATACCGCTACATAGATAATCATATAAAAATAGATATTAACAGAGAGAATAAGAGTTATTTTCTCTTCTCGTCTTAAACGATTATGATATTGATGATAGATAATAATACCAATGACAATAACCGAAATCACAATTGCAAATGAACCATGAATAAGTGAAATTAAATTTAGTACAAAACCAATTATTCCATGTTCCATTATTGAAATGAATTCCAATGGTTTAGTACTGGTATGAACTATATAAAAAAGAAAATAGACTTGATCAAAATTTTTAAAATTAATTAGGATATTAGGAAATGCTTTGGAGAAATTAATTAGAAATGAACTTTCTGATAATGACAGGGATGCTTTTTTTGCATGCTTTTCAAATTCATTGGTCTTTTTTTTCTGACTTTTACTTTTACAAAAATTAATTCATTTTATATCGAGCGTACTCCATGAAAATAATGTCAAATCAACAACATGTCATAAAAATGATACAAAAATCATCAAAACTATACGATAAGAATGATGTAGGGATAAAGAAAGAAAACGTAGATTCACTACTTATCCTTTAAATTTTTCTGTGAAGTGCTGAAGTTGCATTTTCTCCCTTGCTCTGAAGTTGACTATGAAAAGTACCCTGAACATAATATATTCTAGAACAAATAAGAATAAAATCGACGTCAAAAAAATGTATGAACGTCATTTATATTGAGAAAATATTTAAGTCGAGATTAGCATATTTTCTAAAAGCTGACAAAACATTACAATCTTAAGATAATACTGACAATGAAATAAATGATGACATACACATATTCAGAAATTATAATAAAAGGAAAATAAAATACTTTTATTTTTTTAAAACTACAAAAGTATTAAAAAATACATACGAATATCGTAAAGAAATTGAAAGTAGATAAAAGTATGATTCATGATGTTTGTCATTATATGAAATTTTACTTAACAGTCTAAAACAATTTTTTAGTTTCAAGTTATATTTTCAAATGAGAAGCTCCGGAAAGAGCACCATTAATGATAGATTCACTTGTTATTTATGTGGATAAAAACAAAATTGCCAGTTGAAGATGCTCTCCCTTTTATATTTTTTCATTTTGATCATTTGATCATTACATTTCGATTGGAATGTGATGGTGAAAAAAAAGTACTGGAATAATCAAAGAAGGACTTCTTAATGAAACATATTCAAGAAAAAATTGCCTCCTACTTTGACGGCTTCTTTACAGTTAACACTCAAAACCATCATTCAGGCCGTATGAAACGACGCCTTACCCAGTGAAAAATATTTATCAAAAAGAACTGCAAACAACGCGTTCCACTTTCATCGAAGATTTTTTTAAAGAAAAAAAAACGTTTTGCTCTAAAAGTGGAATGCGCTCTTGACCGTTCCTTTTTGGGACACGTTCTTGGTCATTATCACCTAGATTTACATTCCTTACAAGAATTGTTCAAGAGAAGTAAGTGAAGGTAACACATGATTCGTCGAGAGATCTGTTCCAGTACAACTCGACGAACTCTATCCAACGGTGTGCTCCGATTTTTCGTAGCTCAAACTATTATTCGAAATAGATTTTTTTTTAGAAATCAGGACTGCCAGCTGTGGGATACAACTTATCGATGTTCCACCATTTTTGGCGTCACTTTCAATGTGTTGTACCTCAGAACTGTCAATTTTGAATCACAATCGACGTTGCATCCAAATGAAGTGTTCAATAATTTAGAGAAACGCTGGAGAATACGTTCTTTTTTTCTAAGAATGACATTAGAATGTCTGAAATGCGTTCATCAGCTCAAAAGAACTATACTCCGGTGTTTCTCTAGAGAACGTCAAAGAAAACAATCTCATTTTGATAGAACTCTCTTCTGACTGTTCCAAAAAAGAATGGATAGAAACTCATTCTATTGGTTTATGAAACGGTTCAGAACGCTCTCTATCTAGATAGAGACGGCTTTTGAGCTGAGAAGAAAGCATTCCGTGGGTGTGTGGGTGGGTGTGGGTGTGGGTGTGGGTGTAGTTGGAAAAAAGAGAAACATCTATATCCACACTTACAGCCACCCACACCCACACCCTCAATTTAGATGAAAATCAAAAACATTTCATTGAACAAGGTTTTTAGTACACCTCTGGGCAAAAATCTTCCCCCTCCCCCTTGGATCTCAACCATTCTAGGGGCTAGCAGTCTGAAAATTTGTGTGCACATACTTCACCAGGAATGTAGGGCAGTTGCATTACCCACGCTTCAATTACTTGAATGGAAATGGAGTTATTTAGTTTTTGCTCTGAGCTTCATAATCTAAAAAGCTGCCTACTAAAATATGTCCTGTTTCTAATCAAATACGTAATGGATTCTGAATATTTTTACATAAGACTAAAGCCCAGTCTATGGTCTTTCTTCACCCAAAAGATAAGTTCATTTGCTTGAGTATTTATGTCTTTGGGTTCTGGACACTAGTACAATGACCATCAGTGAGCCATTTCTCTCTGGTACAACATTTGATTCTGAAAGTTTCAGATAAATTCATTGCACTATCATTGAGTTATGGGTCTTCAAAAAGCAATAGATGTTTTTTTGCATACCAGCGGTTACAGTAAAATGGCTATGATTATTGTATAGATCGACAAAATTCCACGAAATTTGTATGACAGATAGCTGGATAACAGAGCTGCATAATGATGGATCTGCCGACCCACAACATCCTTCCTTTCCAGAGTTTTGAAACACAAAGCAAAAACAGACACCATCCATGAGAACTCCGTTTCCATGCAAGTAATTGGGATGCGAGTGATGCCATTGATCCACATTCCTGGTGGAGTATGTGTACACAAATTTTCAGACCTCTGACCTCTATGACGGTTGAGATCCGAGGAGGGGGAAAGACTTTTGCCCAAGGATGTATTTCTTATACTGAAACAAATTGTTCAACCAAAAAACAATTAGAATTTTTATATTTGTTCAATATAAAGATTCTGTATAAGAATAGTACAAAACGATACTTCAATAGAAGAGAGAGAGAGAGAAACTATTAAATACTTTTCAAAGAAAGAGTTTTAACAAATGAATATTTTGAATATTGAACATTTTTTCATTAAAGATGACAATAAACAGCAGCTTTCGGGACTTATTGGAATTTTTTATAAATCACGGGATTTATTTTTCTATTGAGATTTCTTGGTTTTGAAATGAACCCAGATATTTATTTCAATGATGGAGTTCATTATGTAAGGTCATGGTATGATCAAAGAATTAAAATATGTTATGAAAATAGCCAATAAAATAAAATTTTATAACTTCTACACACATATATATATAGTCTGAATTTCTAATACAAGCGTGTTCATCTATGTATACATATTTTTATCATCACAAAAAAATATGTATGGCTGAAATTGGCTGAAAAAAATTAAGAAAAATTACAAATTCCACAGGAATTTCAGAGTAAGCACCTATTGAAGGAAGTTTCATATTTATTTAACAGAGACTATTCCAAATTATAATACGTTATCACCATGTTGGAAAGATTGTTCATTAGAAAAACATTTTCTAATTACTTTTGAGATGTTTTTATATTATTGCGTACCACAATGTCTGTGAAATCGAATCATGTCAAAATCTTTTAATTATCTTGGTAAATGAAGGAGTTATTAGTAATAGTTTGAAGAGAATTACCTTTTTTTTCTAATTATAAACATCCTTTAACATACTTTATTGTAATAAGAAACAGTATACATGGTTAGAACATATAACGTCTTTAAAGAGTCATTAATATTCAGCTATTACAAATCAAGAAAAGTTCGATCTGAAAATAAATAATTTTCAGTAAACTACTCGGAACGCTATAATAACTGTACAAGATGTTTGTGACTGTTGTGCTTTAATCTATTAATAATACTGATAATAGAGAGCACTAGTCTCTGAGTAAATGAAGTAGTATATAATTAAAAGAGTCTCTACATTCAAAATTATTGACTTGACGAGTGAGAATGTCAGGGTGATGTCTTCTATTTACTAATCCACACCGATGCTCACACTTCACATCCTCATCCGTAGTTTGTGTACTATTTTAGAATAAAAACTAATAAATTATTTAACATATCTTAAAAACAGCAAACATCAACACATTTTCCAATACCCTGTTTTTATTGTTACGATCTTCCATCATTTTCATTCCAAAATTCAGTCGAATTTCACGATTCTTTTTTCTAAAAATCAATATTCGTTGTTCGTTACGATCTTCTGAACAACTTTCATTACGAACACCCTGTTCTTTTTTATTTTTGATCGATTTTTGTCATTCCGAACTTCCGTACACTTAGTTCCGTACACCCTATCTTTTTTCTTATGTCCGAAGATCGTAACGAACATATGCTACTGGAGACCGTAATGAAAAGTTGGTGCAAAATGTCCCTTTCCTACTGTGTTATTCAAAACTCCGATCTAAAATTGACCAAAAATAACAATGCATTATATACCATCGACTATAGTATTCAGACGACAAATTTAACTTTCAGTTTCATTAGTGCTTACAACCATTCATACTGCTCTGATATCATAATTATACGACACGCATGTGATGCAATGTATCTTCGCTTTTAAAAACTGTCCTCACCAACTCCTGCCCATCTAAATGAATAGTTAAAAAAATATTTTTTTTTGAAAATTTCACCAATAATTCAATGTCCACAAGTGTCCATAGTTAGGAAAAATATTGCGAAAATTTATACTCTTTGTAGAAAAACACAGAAAATAATCACTATAAAATCCATGTGTCTAATCTTAAATATTATCGATATTTCTTATTATAAAATTACAAAAATGTTATTTAAATCGCAACTAGATTCTAAATTCGTCTGCCATATATAATATATACAAAACATGAGAAACGAGTTCCATAAATGAAATTTTTCATAGTGAATTCGACATAATATTTTTGATCGGATCAAAAATAGAATTCTACAAAACTTTTTTAAAGTTCTTTGAAAAATTTGGTAAACTTATTTCAAAGAATTTGGAAACATCAGATCTCCATTTCTTATCATTTGAAAAGTACAAAAATAGTCAACTCTTCGATTGGAGATGATGAAAACCCTTGTTCTGAGATTTTTATCTCTGAAATCATATGCTGATTGCTTGAAATATTAAGGAACAATAATCATCAGTAAGTATAGCCAATATTAACTACACAAATATCCATGCATT